GATAAGCCATATTGGAAGAGAGCATATGTGATGGTATCAGAACTGGCCACTGGATCGTCCCATTCAAGAAACACAGTTTCTCATTTTTGGAAAAGATACCTTTAATGAACACCGTGCTGCATCATACTGCATCATAGTAAAACAATTTCTAATTCCCATCTTTCCATTTTCTGTTGAATCTATGACAAATTGGATTTTTGCCCCAACAGCTCACTGGAACCATTCCCTATTCTGTACACAAAATAACAAAATCTCATCTTACTTGATTAGCAGCAGCATTCAACAGAGCGGATCATTCATTCCTCCTGGAAACACTTTTTCACTTGGTATCCATGGCAACATAGTTTCATGGGCTTGACTCCCATCTCGTCATTGATGGTCTTGTTTGCTGATTTCACCTCTTCCCCTCTTCCTCTTTACATGAGAGAGTCTCAGAGCTTATCCTAGAACTTCCTCTTATTTACATCCACTTTAAGATCCTGGGTGACAATCTCTTTTACTTCGTTTTAAGCAGCATGTGCAAGCTAAAAAGCCCAGTTTTATACTTTCTTGCCCATATCTCACCATTCACCTTAGGGCATTGATATCTAAGTCCTTAGTCAACTGTTCCATTTGTGTGTTTCACGAAAAATTCACTCTTTGGATGTCCAATCCAAATACAGACTCTTAATCACACTTCCTTCATGTATAGTCTTCTCCAGCTCATTGAATGGAAACAGATTCAGTCTGTTTTCAGATACTCAAGGTAAAGCACATGCTTCATCCATGACCCCTTTCCTTCTTTCTCAGGCCACGTTCTCACATTAGAGGCTTCTTAACAGTGACTTCAAAGTATTCCAGTGTCCAATCTCCCATTGCCATTGCCATACTTTACCTTAGCCCAAGCCACCACATCCCTGTAGTATTTTGAGTCTCCCTATTTTTGTTCTTAATTTTTTACTTCTTTTTATCTGCCAAATTGAGACTAGTATAATGTAGTTAGAGCATGCTACTCATCTGTTCCTGCTTCTTGAAAAAGAAGTTACAGACTTACCTAGCCAAAATATTCATGTATATTACTTTATAATACAGAATTTCTCAATTTTTACTTCATTATCTCCCCCAAACTCAACCAGACAAGGAGTCTTTACAGACACATTATCGCCATAAAAATTCAAGGCCAAATATATGTTATGTCTCTCTTCATGTACTATATGTGTAACTGTGCTTAGATAAGATGGGCTAGAATTTTTTTGCTACCAACACAACAGAAATACAATTATAAGAGAATATTCCTCTTAAAAGAGGAAGAGAGAGAGAGCACAGGCAGGCAGTGTGGCGCAGAGGCAAAGGGCGAAGCAGGCTCCCCACTGAGCCAAGAGTCCAATGCAGGACTCAATCCCAGGACCCTGGGATCATGACCTGAGCCAAAGGCAGACACTTAATAACTGAGACACCCAGGTGCCCTAAGAGAATAGTACTCAAAAAAATATTTAGAGCAACAAATGGGAACAACATGGAAGAAATGGATAAATTCCTAGAAATATGAACTACCAATACCAAAACAGGAAGAAATGGAAAACTTCAGCACATGGAAAACCAGCAAGAAAATTGAATCAGTCATCAAAACTCTCCCAACAGGGCGCCTGGCTGACTCAGTGGGTTAAGGCCTCTGCCTTCCGCTCAGGTCATGATCTCAGGGTTCTGGGATCAAGCCACGCATCGGGCTCTCTGCTCGGCAGGGAGCCTGCTTCCCCATCTCCCTCTGCCTGCCTCTCTGCCTACTTGTGATCTGTTTCTGTCAAAGAAATAAATAAAATCTTAAAAAAAAAAAAAAAACCTCTCCCAACAAACACAACTCCAGGACCAGCTGGTTCCCAAGGCGATTCTGCCAAACATTTAAAGAAGAGTTGATACCTATTCTTCTCAAAAAATTCCAAACATATAGAAATGGAAGGAAAACCTCCGAATTCATTCTATGAGGCCATCATTAGCCCAATCACAAAACCAGATCAAGACTCCACTATAAAAGAGGACTGCAGGCCAATATTCCTGATGAACATGGGTGCAAATAGTCTCAACAAAATACTAGCAAATCAAATCCAACAATAACTAAAAGAATCAAGTGGGATTTAATTTTTGGCTGCAAGGCTTGGTCAATATTCACAAAAGAAACAATGTGATACACCATATTCATAAAAAAGTATAAGTACCATATGAAGCTTTCAATAGATGTATAGAAAGATTTTGACAATGCACATTCTAAATAGTTGGAGATAAATATCAATAAACCCCTGTTGTTAATGGGGCGATGTTTACAGTTATTTCCCTTTATAATAGAAATGACATCAGGAGAGTATAAGGGAAAGAAGCATGTTATGCCAAGATTTAGCAACCTGTGTAAAAATAGAACTGACACATCTAAGATACTCTTCAAAGACCTGAATTTTCAGGTTTCAGCATTTGTGACCGAGAAAAAAGCAAGTTAACAGCATGAGTGGTCAAGCCTCTGACCCCAATATCTTTTTTTTTTTTTAAGATTTTTATTTATTTATTTGACAGATCACAAGTAAGCAGAGAGGCAGGCAGAGAGAGAGAGAGGAGGAAGCAGGCTCCCCGCTGAGCCAAGAGCCTGATGCGGCGCTCCCAGGACCCTGGGATCATGACCTGAGCTGAAGGCAGAGGCCTTAACCCACTGAGCCACCCAGGCGCCCCCTGACCCCAATATCTTACGGAACATAAACATTTCTCAGAGTCATGTTGCAATTAACTGACACACTGAAAGCTTAAAGTTTCGGACATTCTAGAGGTGTGTGATGAGATAAAGTGTCTTCAAAACAGCCCAAGTGTAAGGGTTTCCTGTTCAAATTTTAAGTGACACATTGATGAGAAATCTACTTTTTCCACTATTACCTCTGAGTGCTCACAGGGCCAGCAGTCTGTGAAGACCACAGATACTGTCTGTTTACAAGAGTAACCTGGTCTCCCAGTGGAAGATACAGGACTCTCTGGCCAAGAGAAGATATGTGTCACTCCTCTGCTGTCTCTCTCCTAGCCACCTCACTTAGTGGGAGATATAGATGCTGGATGGGATGCACATGAGGTACAGTTAATATGCAATCAAATCACAGAGAACACTGGCATATGTATTCTAACAATTCAGGGTAACAGATAAGAATGAATATGAAAAACACTGGAGAATCTCTTAAAGTATTCAAATTATTGCCCATGATAAAGTAATTAGGTACATATATGCCCACATAATTGTGTTCACAAATCAGTATAATTTCTTGCGGATAGCCATAAGCATCATGAGAAGGGACCATTAATTTTGGATTTGTCATCAATATAGATATAAGTACATATACTACTTGATCTTTAGCCTAGTCTTTGAAAATAGATTCTTAAAACAGACGAACATAGGTGAAGGGTAAAAAAGAGAGGAGGCAAACAATAAGACATTTGTAACTATAGAGAACAAACTGAAGGTTACTGAAAGGCAGGTAGGCAGCAGTTGGGCTAAATGTGAGATGGGTATTAAGAAGAGCATTTGTAGTGATGAGCATTGGAGGTTATATGTAAATGCTGAATCACTAAATTGTTTTCCTGTATTGAATATCATACTATATGGCAATTAACTGGAATTACATAAGTATTTGAAAAAAATAATTTAAGATGAAGTCTTCAATCATAAAAGTCAAATGTAATTTCTCATATACTTGCTTTGTTAAATGAACGTAGTTTGATCGTTCATGGAAAGCAGATGAGGTACCTTCTGGAAAATGCTAATTTAAATTTAGGTATGAAATAATCAAAAAAACTTTTAAAAATTGACCAAAACTTGGCAAAAAAAGATATTTAATACTGAAAGAGATGCCTGTCTAATGGAATATGTTACATGCTCTAAAGGATATGAGTCAGCAATGATGATACTGTGACTATTCTGTTAAAAGTACTTAAGATAACTAATATACTATTGAGAACTTAGAAACACTGAATGGAATATTAAGTGCTTTAAATGTGTTATAATTTATATATTTTAATTCCCAGTTTAGCTTAGTATAGACTAGGTAGCTAGATAAGAAGTAACTTCTTAAAGGTCATAGTTTGTAAATTTGAGAGCTAGGAGTAATTCTATTCCACTGACTGGTGAGCTCATTGACTGAACTATGAAATTACATTTATTTCATTTATTAGAATTCCTTATACAACTGAAGTTTCCCTACTGCCTTTGACATTCTTAGGTTTTTCTGGAAGTTTGTACCAACAGTTTTCTTCCATAAATGAACTACACTTTTATTTATCGTTTTATGGTTTCACACCTTTACTATTAAATCGGTTGTCAATTTCAGGTGTTAATTAAGTACTTTAAAAAATACTTTTTGGTGTTTTTTATTTCATTATTGTTCAGGGTTTGGATAAATTTATTGTGTCATGTAACATTTTCAACACATAAAAGATTTCTATTAAAACTTAATGATTTCTTCCAATGCCACAATTACTCAAGGTGAAAGACCACTTGATAGTACTGCATAACAGTTTAGTAAAGAAACCTGAGTCTTAAATAAAAGTAATTTACTCCAGGAAATTCCTGTATGTACTAAAACTAATATTCCCTAATCTGGGGGACTCCATTTTTTTAAACCAATAATGCATTAAAAACTTGTCCAAAAATTGATGCAGCATTTTCTTTCTAATGCAGTATTTAAATATTAACCCAGTTATTCCAGTAGTGTTGACCTGTTCTGTGGAATCTGGCCTTACATTAATGAGGACAATATTATTCCTTCTTTTCCTTCTTCACTCATTTGTTGCTTTACATGTTTCCAACCAATACTATTGTGTCAAACAGAATATCATTAAAAAACCACTTATTTCATCATGAAGCACTTCTTTAAAGCTCCAGGAAATTAGTACCAGATTTTACCTTGTTCAACAGAAGATGAGTACTACCACTCACCACACACTCCACCCACTGTGACTGTCCCACCCTCTGTTCATCAAGTCCTTCAGCACAGTCCCATTCAGCCCTGTGCCTGACACCACACAGCTGCAGAGATGAATAACCAAGGAGTTACCTACGCAGAACTCAGTCAGGTTAAGGGTTCAAGAAGACAGCAAGTGAAAGCTAAGGGCACTAAAAGTGGCATTTCGGGAACTGAGCAGGAAATAACGTATGCAGAATTAACTGTTCAAGATGCTTTTCAGGATCTTCAAGGGAATGGCAAGAACTACCAATGGAAAGGTAAAACACTTAATACAATACAGACATAGTATAACTGCTCTAGAATGTGCACATGGGGAGCAGGGGTACAGGGAATGAGTAGGGAACGATCTCCCATATTTTTCATTTGTGTGGATCAGAGCTTGGGGCTGGAATATGGTATTGTAATTGAAATCTGAGGATGAACCTTGCTCAAGTGTTGTAATTCGTGGTCTTAACCCAGTCTCATGGGGGTAATTTATTGCAAATGTAATGGTACATTCTGAGAGAAGATTACGATGGTTGATGCAAGTTTGGGGTCCAAATTTTTATATGTGACTCCCTGTGCTTTGTTGGTTCTCTTCTATGAAAATTTCCTAAATGATTGTTTTCCATCCATGTTTTCTGAGCATTTTCATTTCTCTTCCAACTATTTACCTTCATGTCCAGGGAAGGTCATTGCTGGGATCCTGGGAATCATCTGCCTTGTCTTGATGTCCACTGTGGTCACAACAGCCATTATTCACTGTAAGTGTTTCAATGATAAGGGAATTTTTCACTTTAATGATCATCGGTGCTCAAAGTGTTGCACAATATTATGGAATTGAATTACCTCAATTTAATACATGTATGTTCTAGGTGTGGAGTGGTTATTCTGAATTTGTCAAGAGTAGAAATAACAGAATAACTCTATATAGAGAGTATTACACACATATTCCGATGTCATACCTGAAATACAAGTTATGACAGAGACTTTATGGAGATATACAAGTTAGTTCTTGATACTGATTAAACCAAATACGGCAAAAGACTGTGAGGTTTCATTCTTTAAACTTTTGAATTATCTTCCCCCCCACATGTTCACTATTTTATTGAATTTTTATGGGTAAAATCAATTTTATCACAGAGATTTCCCATTCTAAATAATATACCAAACTTCAAACTAGGAAACTCAAATCTTAATGATTTATTTAGTTTAATATCACATTTTATGAGCATTGTTTTAATTTTTCTAGTTACTACAGGACCAGTGCAGAACAAGGCATCCATGCAAATAACGACCCAGAAAGATAGAAATTTTTTTTCAAAACTCTGATAGTAGGATAGCTTGTATTTTGTGTGTATCTTAAGCTAGACAAGGATGATAATAGATGTTCTTGTGGAAAATGAATTAGAAAATTGCATAGTAAATTTTCATAATTGATCAGTATAGGAGAGTATTACTTCTTACACAACAGTATGAGAAAATATTTATTTAAAATCAGCATACGTGAGGTACCTGGATGGCTCAGTGAGTGAAGCATCTGACTCTGGGTTTTGGCTCAGGTTATGAACTCAGGGTCCTGGGACTGAGCCCCGTTTAGGCTCCACACTCAGTGCAGAGTCTGTTTGAGATTCTCTCTCCCTCTCCCTCTGCCCTCCGGTTCATGCTCTCTCTCTCTCTGAAATAAATAAATATATCTCAAATAAAATAAAGTTACTATGGGGCGCCTGGTTGGCTCAGTGGGTTAAAGCCTCTGCTTTCAGCTCAGGTCATGATCCCAGAGTCATGGGATCGAGCCTCGTGTCAGGCTCTCTGCTCAGCGAGGAGCCTGCTTCCTCCTCTCTCTCTTTCTCTCTCTCTCTCTGCCTACTTGTGATCTGTCTGTCAAATGAATAAATAAATTCTTTAAAAAAAAATAAAGTTACTATATTCATTGTTACCAATGGCCTCAAATTCCCTCCTGCTATAACATGATATAATATAAACAATTATACAATTCCAAAAAAGTTGTTTTGTTCAGGGATTCAAAGTACATGTAAAGATGGACATTTTTGTTTGTTTGTTTTATCCTGGCACATAAGTAAGGGATGAAAGTCTGACTCTTCTGGGAGTGTGCCTGTGTTTTATTTTTGCCTGCTTGTGAGGGTAAAGTGATGTGTTGTATACACATTTTTGCATACATATGAAAGTTGTAAACTTGCAAGTTTTAATATTCAAAGCCTTTTGGATAATATCTCATAATCCTTCTTTAGCTTATCATTGTGGTCATTGTCCAAAAGAGTGGGTTACATATTCCAAAAATTGCTACTACATTAGCACTGAAAGAAAACCATGGAATGAGAGTCGGTTGTCCTGTGCTAATAAGAACTCTATCCTGCTCTCCATAGAGGATGAAGAGGAAATGGTGAGGTTTCAAATGTTTGCAGCTTTTATTAAAAGCTTATCATTTAGGGGAACCTGGGTGGCTCAGTGGGTTAAGCCTCTGCCTTCGGCTCAGGTCATGATCCCAAGGTCCTGGGATCTAGCCCCGCATCGGGCTCTCTGCTCAGCAGGGAGCCTGCTTCCCCCTCTCTCTCTGCCTGCCCCTCTGCCTACTTGTGATCTCCATCTGTCAAATAAATAAATAAAATCTTAAAAAAAAGAAGCTTATCATTTAATATTACATTTGTAGATCTCATCCATATAGTCATACATATTTCTTGTTTATTTATTTTAAAGTTTGTTTAAACAACTGTTTAAAGTTGTTTATAACTATTACTATAGTTACAATTCCATAATTTTTTACTATTCCATAGTTTGATTTTATGATATTTTACTATTTTGTACCTTTAATGTACATTTAATAATTTCTAGTTCTTGCTTTTCATAGAGAACCATACTTCTATAAATGCTCTTTTGTCTGATAGCCTTATTATGTTTTTTTCCCACACATTATGAAAACTATATGATTGGGGCACCAGGGTGGCTCAGTGAGTTTTGCCTGCCTTTCGCCCAGGTCATCATCTCAGGGTCATGTGATCCAACCCCACATCAGGCTCTCTGCTCAGCAGGTATCCTGTTTCCCCCTCTCTCACTGCCTGCCTCTATGCCTGCTTGTGATCTCTCTGTCAGATAAATAAATAAAATATTAAAAAAAGAAAACTATATGATTATGCATTTTCATCACAAAATAGTCAGAACATAAATACAAATCAGATCATGAGCGAGAAGTTTAGAGTCTCTATTAGCCCTGCCAGTTTTAATACTGTAAAATGTCTTTGCTTATTTTTGGAATTTATATCAATGGAATCATGCAGTATGCATTATTATGTATATCTCTTTTTGTTCTTGTATGATATTTGTAATCTGTCTATATTATTCCATTTGTCTGTAGTTTGTGAATTTTCACTGCTGCTGTCTTATATGAATATGACATTTTATTTATTTATTTATTTTAAAGATATTATTTATTTATTTGACAGAGAGAGATCACAAGTAGGCAGAGAGGCAGGCAGAGAGAGTGAGAGGGAAGCAGGCTCCCTGCCGAGCTGAGAGCCCAATGCGGGACTCAATCCCAGGACCTTGAGATCATGACCTGAGCCAAAGGCAGTGGGTTAACCCACTGAGTCACCCAGGTCCCCCTGAATATGACATTTTAAAAGCTATTCTCATAAACTTACATCCTTTTTAGAATGTGCATATTATGAATAATTATTTTATGAAAGGCTTTTTCTATATGTTTTCCATGTATTATATTTATAATAACTTATTATACATAACTACATAGTATATAGTATATTTATGAAATGTAAATAATGCATTTGTCAAAATAACAATGCATAAATCTAACATTATAATTGTATTTACATATGATTATTATATATTTTTTCCTAAGCATTAGTATGAAGCATAGTATTTTCTCATAGTATTTGTTCAGCCTCTTCAGTAATTCTTCATGGATTAGTAGAGATTCCCAGAACATCAGTATTAATTCATCTGTGTGGCCAAAAGTCTCCACCTCCTTTCCTAAAGTGTAAGTTTCTCGACAACTTGTTTTATGCCTCAAGAGAATTAATCTTACAAAGAATAAATGAACTATGTAAACAATTATATAACACAATTGTGAAAATGTTCCCATAAAAATGGTATGGGAAATATTCAGATTTAGATGTACAGCTATTAGTCTAAATCAACTATTTATTCTTCACAATATTGTGATTCATATTTTTAAGATAATGAGATCTAATTCTCTGTATTTCAGGTCATCAGTTTCTTCAGAGAGTAACAAGAAGTGTCCCTTTTTCAACTCTGACTCAAAGAAAACTTCTTTCAAATCCTGCTTGGATCAAAAAATATACGTTTGCAAGCCCTGGGCATTTTAGTTACCTAATTTCGGTATCTATCTCACCAACTATAAAGCTATCTCACCATCTGTAAAGAATGTATTTCTCATTTCTTCAAAAGTCATACAATTATTTTTTTAAAGATTTTATTTATTCATTTGACAGACAGAGAACACAAGTAGGCAGAGAGACAGGCAGAGAGAGAGGAAGGGAAGCAGGCTCCCTGCTGAGCAAAGAGCCCAATATGGGGCTTAATCCTGGGACTCTGGGATCATGACCTGAGCTGAAGACAGAGGATTTAACCCACTGAGCGATCCAGGCGCCCCAAAAGCCATACAATTATTATCTCATAATATATTTCAGATATAATTTTTAGAGCAATTTTAGGTTCACAACAATTAAGAAGAAGGTACAGAGATTTCCTCTATTACTCCTGAATACACAAGTGCATGGCCGCACCAGTTATCAGCATCACTCACTCGAATGGTCTTTTACTGAAGGTTCCACCAAGTTGGCTGAAGAGTGGGGGACTCCATTTCAACCAGTCTCCTAAATTTAGCCAGGAATCTATCAAGCCACTCTGGACATCCATGAAATCAGTCTGAGATGTAAGATTATACACATTTGGATCTCTATGGGGGCTGAGAATCATCTGGGGAGAGATACAAAAGATGGAGTTGGGTTTGCACAGACAGATGTTGCAGGAGAGAAGGGAGGAGAGCCAAAAGAAACCAGCCATTGGAAATTAATACCCCATGTCAAAAATGCCCTGTGCTCGGGGACCAGCGATACCTTGGAGATGGGTGGCTGCAGGACAGGAAGGGACTGATAACAGTGTTCAAAAAGAACAAAGGGGCTTAAGGGACAATTGCAGGGACCAGGTTGCCATAGGTGTGGACACATGGACTGGCCATAACCACTGCCCGCCTGTGCCTGAGAGGACCCAGTGGGGATTTGATTCAGCGGTCCCTGGGGCTTGGCAGCTAATGCTGCCACCATAGTCATCTCCGCCACTACTGCTGCCACTGCACCTGAAAGGACCCAACTTTGTCTGGAGACCACCGTCCTGGGAGCAGCAGCCACCAGGCCAGGGTTCGCCCAAACTGTTACCACTCATGTTTTTTGTGGCACGGGGGTACAGAGACAAGTGGGGTTCTCAGCCGGCCACTGAGAGGGTCACTGGGAATGCACACCACCTGTGGGAGGTTGCATTATTCAATGGGGTTTGCAGAAGGGGACTCTGTGTTTTGGATGATTCAGAGAGGAGCAGAGGGTGGCTTCTCCCTGAGGCAGAGGTCTGTGTGTGGACAGATTACTTTGCTCTGACCCTCCAAAATGGCATGAAAAGCCACCAGATAAGAAAAGCCTCCAAGAACAAAAGCCTGAAAAACCAGGTTCCATAAAGCCCAGTCCCATGATAGGGACCAGGGCAAGTCCACACAACTGGATTAACTGAAAAAACAACACAGCAGACCTCTCCCCACAGAAGACAAGCTGAAGGAAAAAGAGGACAACAACCACAGAGTCCCCATAAAACTATAAAAACCCCAACGCCAGGGGAATACAATTTATTAAGCCCTGATACTGTCTCACAGCCTGTATATTTCTGAGATAACAACTTTTCTCTCTCTTTATTTTTAATTCTTTCTCATGATTCGTGCTCTTTGCGGTTGTTGTTTTGTTGTTGTTCTAACCTACTTACCATTTCAACTAGATGTTTAATTAATACAACCTATTCCATAGTAATTTTTTAACTTGAAAGTTTCATACATATACTTTTTTCTTTTTTTCTTATATATATAGAGAGAGAGATAGATAGATAGATATAAGCTTCAATGTAGTCCTTTTTCCCCTATTCAATAATACCTTTACATACATACCATTTTAACTTCTCTGTATGTCTGGGAAGTTGAGTTCTCTAACAAAGATAACAAAATACACCCAGGAAGAACAGAAATGGGCATTCCTTGCCTACACTGAGGGATATTAAGAATTTTCCCATCATCCCCCCCTTGTTGTTTATTTATTTATCCTTTTATTTGTTTGATTGTTTTTCTTTTGTACTTTATAAATATTGCTCTTGGGGCTCATTTTGGCTGGAATTTTTTTTTTTTCTTTCTTCTTTCTTTTTCTTTTTCTTTTTCCATTTTATTTTTTTTTTTTTCTTTTTGGTGGTGACATCTGTTAGCTCTGAACTTTCGTAGGTGTTTCTTGACTGGATAGTGATTGATATTTTTGGCTGTACATCCCCTCAACCACAACTCAACAGAATGACGAGGAGGAAGAACTCCCAACAAAGAAAAGGTCCAGAGACAATGGCCTCTCCCACAGAACTAATGGATATGGATTAAAGCAAGAGGTCAGAAATGGACTTCAGGGTAGTAGATATGAAGACAATAGTCAGGCTGGAGAAAACTGTTAATGGCAACATAGATTCATTAAGGACAGAAGTGAGAGCAGATCTGGCAGAACTTAAAAATGCTATCAATGAGATACAATCTAATCTAGATACTTTAACAGTTAGGGTAAATGAGGCAGAAGAAGGAATTTGTGATCTTGAAGACAAACTGATAGAAAGGAAGGAGCAGAAGGAGTCCTGGAACATAGAGCTTAAAATCCATGAAAACAGACTTAGAGAAATAAATGGTGCCATGAAACGTTCCAATGTCAGAATTATTGGGCTCCCCGAAGGGGTGGAGAGAGAGAGAAGACTAGAAGATATATTTGACCAAATTGTAGCCAAGAGCTTCCCCAATCTGGGGAATGAAAGAAGCAATCCTGTCCTAGAGGCAGAGAGGACACTCCTCAAGATCAATGAGGACAGATCAATGCCCAGGCATGTAATAGTAAAACTTGCAAATCTTAGAATGAAGGAGACGATTTTAAGTGTAGTCAGGAGGAAGAGATTCCTTAGGTACAGAGGGAGGACCATCAGAATAACCTATTCACATCAATCTGACAAGCCAGAAAGGGCTGGCAAGACATATTCAGGGTGTAAATGAGAAGAATATGCAGCCAAGAATTCTTTACTTGGTAAGGCTGTCATTCAGAGCAGATGAAGAGATAAGAAGCTTGCAGGACCTGAAGAGGTTAAAAGAATATGTGACCACTAAGCTGGCCCTGTAAGGGGGTTCTATAAAAGGAGAAAGACCCCAAGAATGACACAGAACAGAAATATACACAGACAATCCATAGAAACAGGGACTTCACAGGCAACACGATGACAATAAAATCTTATCTGTCAATAATCCCTCTCAAAGTGAATGGCCTAAGACAATGGAATGTCCTTTTCCTTCCAGTGTTGAGTATCCCATCTACACATATATGTTTCTCACCATAGAGAAGGGGGAATGTAATAGAGAAGCTGCTTAATATACACACAGAACAGTATTTATAGGGAGTTAATCAAGTGTCTAGTCAGAGTAGAAAGAGTCATGGAGGGATGCCTGGTGGCACAGTCAGTTCAGTGTCTGATCGGGTCATGACCTCAAGGTCATGATACCAAACCTGCGTCCAGCTCCATGCTCAGTGCCAGCTGCTAAGACTCTCTCTTCCTTGCTTTCTGCCCCACTCCCCTCTTTCAAATAAATAAATAAATCTTAAAAATAAATACCATACACTAATGATGATAATAGCTTTGTAATACAGCTTTACGTCCAGAATTGTGAAGCCTCAGGCTTTGGTTTTCTTTTTCAACATTATTTTGTCAATTTGGGGTCTTTTTTTTTTTTCCATACAAATTTTAGGATTCTTTGTTCTAGCTCTGTGAAAAGTGCTGATGATATTTTGATAAAGATTGTAGTGAACCTGTAGTTGCATTGTGTAGGATAGATGTTTTAAGAATATTTGGTCTTGAGGAAATTGAGAGACAGGGCAGGGGACCGTGGGGGGTCAGGAGGGAAAAAATGAAATAAGATGGTATCAGGAGGGAGGCAAACCATAAGAGACTCTTAATCTCATGAAACAAACTGAAGGTTGCTTGGGGGTAGAAGGTAGGGATAGGTAGGCTGGGTTATGGACACTGGGGAGGGTATGTGCTATGGTGAGAGCTGTGAAATGTGTAAGCCTAATGATTTACAGACCTGTACCCATGGGGCAAATAATACATTATATGTTAATAAAAAATTAAAAGAATATTTGTTCTTCCTATCCATGAGCATGGAATGCTTTTGATTTCTCTGTGTCTTCTTCAATTTCTTTCATGAGTGTTCTATAGTATTCAGAGTACAGATTCTTTATCTCTTTGGTTAGGTTTATTCCTACATATCTTATGATTTGTTGTTGTTGTTTTTCTTGTTGCAATTGTAAGTGGAATAAATTCCTTGATTTCTATTTCATCTGTCTCATTGTTAGTATACGGCAGTGCAACTGATACTGAACTGTACTGATATTGAACTACAGGAAACAGAGGGTTGTTGGAGGGGAGGTGTGTAGGAGGAAGGGAATATTGGGTGATGGACATTAAGGGGACACTTGATGTAATGAGTACTGAATGTTATATGCAACTGATGAATCACTAAGTTCTATCCTTGAAAAATGAAAAAAATAGTAATAAAAAAAAGAAAAAAGAAAAGAAAGAGTCTCAGAGAAATCAAGAATATAAAGATTAATGTGTTTTTTTTTCTGTGTCTGACTTTCTGAGAATATACATTAAGTGTTGAAGAAAATGGGCTTATTATTCTAGATCCCAGAGTTAGTACTCATTTCAGTACTAAATTCAGAGGAAGATGACACCCTTTCATAATTTACTGTGGTTGTACCAGAGCAGAACAGGTATTCTTTGCAGCACTCAGTTCCAAAGAATATGCAGAAAGGAAAAAGTTGTGTCTGTCCAATCTTCTGTACCCTACTTATTAATGTGAAAATTTTATTTTCTGATAATTGATGAGTGTAAGATTATGGACAAAATAAGACATTAGCATTTAAAATGTTAAGTTCTGCCCTTAATTGCAAACACTGGTTCTTTGTGGCCCCTCCTAAAGCAATATGTAAATATCTACCTTTTGTCCACCTCAAATACTCTGGATTGAATAAGAATA